CACCATTTCGGAATAAACATGAATTACGTGCAGGTCACATGACTACAAGAGGTTTTATGCCCCAATCTCTTTGAGAAGCAAATATTTGCACTGAAACCATAAAGAACCTATAAAGAAACGTTTATATATTGTACATGCCAAGTTGAGGATGAATAACAGGATGAATAACATTTCATCAGGATGAATAACATTTAGGATGGGCAAACCGAATTTAGTTCTTCATCTGTAGTTTTGAGGGCGTATATTTTCCACATATTTTCATAACTATAGTACTTAATACCAAACTAATGGTGTATGTCCGAGCATTTAGCTGATCAATTATCCTGTAGAAATAAAATTGGTTTGATTTGATTTGCGTTTGTAGTCGGTGAATTTGCGGGTTAAAAGGTTGTGAGCAGTGCATGAAGCTTTACAGTCGTGGCAATGGAAGTGTTCCTAAATAATTCATTCGCTCACATGAACCAATAGAGAGTTTAAGCTTCGCGTTATACGTCAAACGGCAAACGCCAGGCAAAGAAAATTTTTACAATATCAGGCAATAAAGAGTAAATTCGCTTGCTGTTTTAAAACTGAAATACATAATTATTCTTTCGACACAACAAAAAAAATATGAAACGAAAACGTTCAACAACAATTTTGCCAAGAAAATTCAAACCTGCCGTTTGCCGTTCCCGGAAACGTGAAGCTTAAACTCCCTAATTCATTTGCTCACACGACCCAATTCATTTGCCGAGTTATTTGAAAATTCGATCACTTCCCGTATATAATTAATAATCTGACTTTGGTGCAATTGACCAGTGAAAAGGAGACAAGAAGTGACCGGAAATGATCAAATACACCAAGTTGTGGGTAATTGGTCAAACGTCTCAAACGAAATGTAGTCTCAAAGTAAATAAATTGGTAGAGTATTTTAGGAACACTTCCATTGCCAAGACTTTACTCAAAACATTCAGAGGCGAAGTCCACGCCAAACGTAGCCCAACCACTGATAGATCAGTGAGCTCAACTAATACTAGCCCGCGTGCAGGCCCAAGGGAACTGATAGTGGGCCTGCAAGCAAGGCCCGGTATTTTGTAAAACGCCCCTTTTCATAACACGCCCCATTCGCACGTCAATTGTTAAAAAAGAACCAATGACAGCAACCCAAATATTAACAAACAAACTCACTTGTTTCCAACCATCAAACTGACGTTACGTCATTTGATCAATTTCTAAAGTTGTTTCTTTTTGGATTTTTTTCATTAATTTGGTTAGGGTTAGAGTTAGGGTTGCGGTTAGGGTTAGAGTAGAGTAGGGGTGGGGTTTGGGTTAGTTACATCGCCATTTAACACCTCTTCCATTTTCCGAAAATGCCGTCATGTCAGTTTGGTAGATGGAAACAAGTGCTGACCATTAAAATGTTGCGGGGTTTTCTCTGCTTATTCAGAACATAAACAATGTGTAAATGGCTGCGTTTTAACTCCAAAAAAGCAAGCAACGCAGTCAGTAATTGCCAAATTTGCAAGTGCTCATTTTCAACTAAAATCGGAACAGGCAAATTAGGACGAATTTCAACAGAAAACCAGTCTCAAACTTCAAATCGGGAGGGAAGTCGTGCGACACATTAGCATTAATGTGTGCTTCGCTGTCGCCATTGTTATAAATAAATTGTCTCACTTATCAGATCGTGTGTGCAATTCTTGTTGGCGGCGGAAAGTACGAAATTTATTTCAGTTATTTCATTTGGTAAAGAACTCCACAAAAGAAGAGAGCGTTCATTGTCCAGATCGTTTCGTTTCAGTCAAACGGCAATTTAATACCGTCTTCTGTTTTGCTCTCTCAGCGAAGCCTTGCAAATCGCAAAGTCTTTCGAGTACACTCTTAAAAAAAGGTGTGCTAAAGCAACACACCTTTTATGTCCAGAAAACAACACACCTTAAGGTGTGTTACAGTAACACACCTTTAGGTGTGTTATTCGCTTACATGCAACTGCCTTTAAATCTTCACCGCGAAAAGCGCTGTTTTCTTCAGTGCAAGAACAGAGTCAACATCAACCAAAAGGTAATTTTCTTGTGGAACATATAACGCGTATCAAGTCTGTTTGAAATTATTAATGAAACTCAAGTAAAGGTTTCTATAGTTTATCCCAGTCGTAATGTTGCTATTCCAACACTTCACGACAAGCAATCCCCATTGGCATAACGGCAAAAACGTCTCTTCCTTCAAGTAAACAATAAACAGTCTGTTCTTGTTCCATTTTTAATCGAAAAAAGTTATCAATTTTCGAATTTTAAGCTTCTCGAGAGCCTTTGTGGTGAATCACTGATGTAATTATAGAATCCAACAACAAACAGCCAATCAGAATGCCGCGTTTGTGGGCGTACGCGGAAAGTACAAAATACCGGGCCTTGCTTGCAGGCCCACTATTC